AATGTTTTGTGCTCTTTTGGGTAGATGCCTAATAGTGCTGTTGCTGGATCGAATGGTATTTCTATTTTTAGCTCTCTGAGGTATCTCCAAATTCCTTTCCACAGAGGTTGCACTAATTTGCAGTCCCACCAGCAGTGTAAAAGTGTTCCTGTCTCTCCACATCCTCGCCAACATTGTTCTCTTAAACAGAGATGTTTGTCAATCCTCTCCTGAGCTCCAGAACCCATTCTGCCAGCCAGGAGTGGGAATAGAGTAAAATACATAGAAATCGAGTTCTAGGACCTCCTGTTTTTTTCTGTGTCCTGGTCCTCAAGCAGGAAGACAGTCGCAGCTCCCAGAGTAAATATTTCCCAGCCTCAGCTCTGTGTCTATCTAAGGCTTTGTCTTCTTTGACTTCCCACAGCATCCCTTTTTTTTTTTTCCATAACTTTTTAATACAAAATGATCTCTGCTCAGTAGGGCCACTATCCTAGTGAGTTTTATTTGCTCTCACAAAGAATACGAGGATTGCCCCAGGGCTCTGTGTGTTTCTTTTCTCACAGGTAACTTTGGCTAGTTTCGAGAACTTATTTCTTTGACATACCTGTAAGATTTATGCTTTGGACGTAGGCATTTCCTTTGCCCGCTTCCAAATATAATGAAGTGTTATCAACACCCCAAAAACACCTGCTCTGGCACGAGTTGCTAATGAGTATCTGAGGCCAGCATTTGCCTGGGTTTAAGGTGCCAGGGATGCCTTTCTCTGAACACCTTTGTTTTTTTTAAGAATCTATTCACAGTTAAGGGGAAAAAAATGTTCGAAAGCAAGCCATTAGCATATTATTGAGTTCTTGTTTCCAGCCAACAGCTGTGTTGTGCTTTACGAAATAGGGTATATTTACTGATGCCTGGATGCTGTTCTTTTGATTTCCATGAATTTGACACACTCAGCACTCAAGTGTGCATGGCTGCGTGTCGTTTCCTATATTCATGATATGTTTCCTACTTCCAAGTCATAAAAGCCTCACTAGATATCCAGAGGCCTGGAGTAATAAACACTTCATTATAAATGCTTTCCTTGTTTCTGAAAATTCACCCAATTAAAATCCTTCATTTATCGAAACATGCTTGAACCTTCCACGAGAGGTTTTTGACAATCACTGGATTTGTTTGGCAGGAAGAAAGGAATGTTGGAGGGAAATTGTGAGTATCCAAGAAATGTAAAAAAACATATTTATACAGGACAAAAAAGGATATCATGACATAAAAGCACATGTACAGTATAACACACACACATAGTATATGTTATTTTCCTTAGCATTTTATTGCCATGATATGTCACCATAAGAAACAATTTCATTGCTTTTGTCTCTAGTCAAGCTTATTATTCCCATTATGTTCTTTTCTAGTTCAGGTCTCTTTTTTTCATCTCTTTCAGTAATAGTTGATGAAACTTCTTTTTTTTTCCTTCTATTAGATGAAAGTCAAACCTAAAAGGATATTTACCTACCTTATATTCCATACTTTCATTTGCTTTTTAATTGAATCAATATTTAGGCTATTTCATCAGAGAAGAGGGAATGTTAAATGTTCTTTGCTTAGAAGTGACTTGCTGCCCAGAAAAGTGTTCTAGATTTCCAATATTTATGACATCTGGGCACCAGTGAGACTCACACCCTCCCACAAATGAAAAGTAGACACTAGTAAAGATAAATGAAGAGAAAAACTTCAAGGCAATAGGCCTAGAGATTCATTCGTATCACTGCTGTGGTTGTCATTAGCTTGTACGCACCCTGAGCCCTACTCTCAAATAAGCCAAAGAGATTAATTCACAGCAAGTATACGCATGCCGTGGAAAGGTCCCAGGGGTGGGGGTGGGGGGCAGCAGGGCAGGCGCAGCAAACACAATGTCTGTGTATATCAGCCTAGAATTGTCGCCACATGTGGACAGAGGGATTGTGAACTCTGTAATCACCAAGATTCTCAGAATTGGGAACAACCTATTTTCCAGATAGTCTTAATCAAACATAGTATTATTTCAACCTCCTCCTTTTCCTTTTTAGGTGGTCCGAGACATTCTGCTGATTGGACATAGACAGGCTTTTGCATGGGTTGATGAGTGGTATGGTAAGTCAATTTCTCTGAAATAACTTATAGAACAACTTCATAACATGTTGCCTTGGGCTTTCAGTCCATCTGACTTCAAGTGATACCTAGAAGGACAACAAAGGCAAGGCCACTGCTCCCTAGGTTGGAAATAGCACTGTCCTTTGTGCATAATGAAGATGTAATCATAGAAGCCTCGTCTAAAATAACCACAGAATTATTGACTATGTCGGACCTCAGCACGTTTGATGCTTGCGTAGTTGATGCGCAGGGCTCCATCATTCTCTGCTGGATGGGTTTCAAACCCATCCTAATGTATCCCAAACTTCAATTTGAGATCAAAGCTGTCTGAAGCATCATATCAAGTAAAAGCAGTCCTTTGATTCAGAGAACATTTGAAACAAATCCCTCACCAAATACACACAGGTTCTGCAAGAATCCAAGGGCATACAGAGGCATCTGTGCCCGTTAATCCTAAATGAAACTATTGTTCTGGCTTTTTTTTTTTTTATGATATGGGAAGAGTTAAACAAGTTCTGCACATTTCCAGCAAATGAAAAGAAGGTTAGCTTCATCCCTTGATGGATGGACCACCCTTCCCAGATCATCAGCACTATTGTTTTGTCCACACAAATCCTCTGCATTCTCAGAATCAGTTATCAGCGGGCCAGTGTCCTTGGCTATAAATAGAAATGAACACGCCCAATGGGTGACTTAAGTTAGATCTGATTTTCAGGTCGATTGTCTAATGAAATGCCCTCCTCCTTGGCCTTTTCCTAAGTCACATTAAATTTGTTCTGAGTGTAACCTCGATTGCATTTGGGTCCTTTTCTGTCATTGTTCCACCAATTCTCTCCCTTTTCTTAGCAGAAAGCATCAAATTTAAAAGTAAGAGGATACATTGGATGGAATGGGCAAAGACAGTGATTATTATTAATGTTGCTATCTATTTCTGAGCCATATTTAAAAGGCATGGTTCTGTAGGCTATGGGCTTCTTTTTTTTCCCCCAATTTTCCCAGATCTACACCTTCTGAAGAGCAAATGCATCTTCCTGGGTTTTTCCAAATGCAGATTGTCATTTAGTCTATCTTATCACTCACCCAAAGGATGCTGCTCACCCCCAGCAGGCGCACTGGCTTGCCCCCTTGTCATGAAGTCTCCCAAAGACCTATCTATTTGTGGTTCTTTTTCATGAGGCAGGAAGAAGGAGCATCTCCTGTGATTACTTCCTCTGATCCTTAATTCTTTCTGGTTGTTTTTTCTGGGTAGCTTTTCTCAAATTCTCAGAGGGAGCAGAGACTCTAAAAAAGGATAGGAACTTCTGATCTCTCCTGACTAGTGCCCCTCAGAGCTCTTGGTTTCCTTGCTACCAGCACCAAGGGAACCAAAAGGCTATTCCAAGAATAATAGCTTCAAACTAATTAGAAGTTTGGCAAGAAGACAGCCATCCAAAGGGCCAGAAATTTGCCACTTTAAAAACCAAGAGAGAGGGTGCTTGGATCTAGCACCAGAATGCCTTTCAGAAAAGGCAACATCAAGGTAGC